TTTTTTAGTGTAAGTAATGCATAAATTGTTGATTGCTTCCAAGGTACGTGCCTCCTGAGCAGGCCAAGGTAGTGGCGTCAGTCCATGCTTCCATCTCTGGCTCCTCAAACAGCAGCACCAGCAGCACCCCAGAGGTTAGACCACTCAAGTCCCTGCTGGGGGAGTCAGCACCGTCTCTACACCTCAACAAGCACACCCCACCAAATCAGGTGAGACTTACATAGTGTACACACATGCACACAAGTCATCATATGATTAACACATATGTTGGACAGCATAAACCGGTTCTTGTTCAGTGTGCCATATATGCCACACCTAGCAGGGTTGAGGGGAGAATATGTAGTTGTTACTACATATTCTCCCCTCAGGTTGGTCTTTACAATGGTGTGAATATTTACGCTGTTACACTTTCAGCTTTGAACTGGGTTATCAATCGACAGTTAACACTCAGCGTTGTTGCCGATGTTAAAATGAAACCTTATGATGGGCTTTAGCGGAAAGAATGCTACCAGTTGATGACCTTGTTTACTTTGCTGAATGCTCTGTGGTTCAACACTACCACAGTTACTTAGTAATCCATTTACACACACATCCCTAAATGCTTTACTGACATGTTTACATTGGACTTAATTTGCTAAGTGATTTGCTAATTAAAAAGTATCTCATAGATACAAAGAAAATAACGACTCTTCGCACAAATGCAATGACAGATTTATTGACAACAGGTGCAGTCCAGGATTAGACTGTGAATTGTTTCACAGCAGTATTAAGAAGCCATGTCTTTAAAGACAAAAGCATATTCATCTTGTTTATGATAAATGACCAAATTTGCCCACTGAGATAAGGTTCATCTTTCATCACTAATGAGACAGTGTCACCACAGTCTGTTTTTTCACGTGGCCTATTATCTCCTCTTTATTAATTTGCATGAAGGCTGTTTAGGAGCTCATTTATACCGGTTTAGTTATTTATTAAATTTTTTTCAAATGCATCTCTTGTCGTCACCAGTCTCCTGTAGTGAGCCGTGGACAAACCCAGCAGCAGCAGCTCCATGACAAGAAATATGACCTCCTCAGTGACTTGGGTGGTGACATCTTTGCTGCCCCGCCCAACATGAATGCAGGCGCCAGCTCCAGTTTTGCTAACTTTGCACACTTCAACAGCCACACAAGTAAGCAACAGACCAATAACACTGCAACTAACAAAAACATGAGCAAGTAATGTAGTTGCCACTTTAAAACACTTGTAGGCAAGGTTTGCTTCAACCAGTGTTTTCAAGTTTCACTATTGAAATGTGCATGGCATAGCTTAGCCAGCAAGTTGTCTCTGATGGAGATCCCAACTAGAGTTGGTTAAACTGCCTTTTCAAGAAGGTCACACCAGTATCTCATTTCCTTGGGCATGTACAATGTACATGAAGATAGAAGTCCTCAGCACACATAATCCACAATAAACAACAAAAAAAAAGCCCCAATTACCAATCTCTTACCAATAAATAACTGCGTTTATAGATATTGGATGTGGGGTGGGCACTTCTCCAGAGGTGGTGTATTTACTACATTAGATGGGATCAGGATGCCACCAGTTTGGAGAAGATGTGAATTTGCTATACATCAGGAGTCATGATGTGCTCTTGGATTGTATCAAAATATATTATAAAATTGCATCAGACAGACAAATTGCCATGGTTACTAATACTTGTAACATGTGGCTGTTAGCATTTGCTTTCAATTGAGGATAATGTCCTCTCATTTCTCCCTCAGAGCCTTTAAGATTCATCCTTAATGCAAGAACTAAAGTGGCGTTAACACACCTAACAAACATGCACACAGGTGTGTTAAAATTAATGATGTGTGTAGTGCTAAGCACACAAGTCCTGCTTTATATTTGGGTGTGCACATGAAGGACTCTTGGGTGTTACTGGGAAATAGTGAATGTCGAGGTATATAAGCTGCTACGCATTTTAAGTTGCACTGCTCTACTACTCTGATTATTCCTCACATTTAACACATCACCCATTGTATTTTATTAGTAGTGTTTAACCCATTGTATTTGCTTTGCAGTCATTCATGTCTTTGGATATTGTATGCATTCATTCATTAATCCATTTTTTTCCCCTCACTTTTTTTTTCCTCCATCTGTTTGTCTGTACAACACCTCTACACAACTTCAAGTGGCACAGAATACCAAAGGAGAGACAGACTTTGCTAATTTTGATGCATTCGGGAACACTTCTGGGTCGACAGGTGGTTTTCCCTCTGCACCCCAAGCACCATTTCAACCCCCAAATACAGGTAGAGCAAGCTGGTTTTACTGGACAAATAACACAACTAAATCAATAAGACAGAGGAACAGGTTTGCTTTATGTACACAGGCAGACATGTAAAAATTTACATAGACAAAAAATTTAGTCACACACACACCTCAATGGTAGTCAAAATTTCTCTCACATCATCATTTGTTGGTTTATTTAAACTGTTGTATCACCTCTGTTCCCAAACCTTTACATATGTGTAGTGTTCATTCATTTTTTTTGTTCAAATGTAAACATTTCTTTACACCAGAGAGTTGTACGGTTTTCAGATGATCCTGTTTAAAAGAGAGTAAAAGAGACTAAGACGTGAAGTACTGTGTTCAGGAGATTATCCACTGTACCTCACTAGAGACATTTACTGTAAACTTTGCTTTGGGCATACACAAGCTTCATACAGCTTAGCCACATGTCTGAGAAACTAAAATTTTTGTGTACTTTTGAGGTTCTAAATTAATGCTGGTGTTGTGCAATAGATGAGCGCTAATCAATACATGCGTTGTTAGCCAAAGCTTTTTCTCTCTCTCTCTCTCCTACAGTGTTTCAAAAATACATTGGCAGCTTATTGACACATCCTCTGGCTTATTTTCAGCACTTTGACTCATAAGTCACATACTCTTATTTGAACAGTAGTTACTGCCACAAATTTCACTTCCTGTCAGAAAAATGTTGTGTACTACAGTGCCCTCTGCTGGAGGTGCATATTGACTCTGTGTGAAGCAGCCTCCTTAGTGTTTATTTTTATTGGAAACATTTTTAAGTGACTTTCTCACAGATACTGACTGCCTTGCACTGTCTGCCTTCAGCTGTCAAATCTGTCTTACTTGTTTTTGGTTTTGTTTTTTTTGTTTTGTTTTTGTTTTTTTATCCTTTGCTTTAGCAGTATTTGATTTGCTTTGATTTAGCACTTCATAATGTTTACCTCTGGGTTACCTGACATCTTTTCTTTGATTTCTCTGCCATCTTACATTGCTCATTACCCCATTTCTGCCTCCCTCTTTGATTTGTGGCTGCAAGCGTTCACTGTGCTCTCATCCAGCCGCAGTATGGGTGAGTTTGCCACTGCTCTGCCTCTCCAGTGTTCACACAGTAAGTCTCTCTGCGCTTGCCCTCATAACAGCTTTCACTCTCTCACCCATCTTGTATGTGTAGTCATTGTGATCCCAATCCTCTCTTTGGGTGTTGTGTGTGTGTGTGTGTGTCTCACTGTGTTGTTGTTTTTTTTTGGTCCATTTATACTAAAATTAACAGCTGATAAAGCTCAGTGGTTAAACATAAGTCTACTAATCTTTGATTGTTGCAATGATTAATATGACCTACTGTGCAAAATAGACCAAAGTGTATAAAAATCCAACAAGGCAACATGAAAAGAGATGATAAGAGGA